AATTTTTACTTTGAGCACTTTATTTCAGGAAAATGCCTGAAAATACTACTCAAATGCTCTCATTCCTGCCCATGCAAATATCACCTATACTTTAAGGTCCAACTTAGTGACTACCTCCTCACAAGACCTTCCCTGATCCTCTAAGTTATTTCTGACTCTTCCAAGTTTCTACAACATTTTAAGTAATGCACATTATTCTCATGATTACATATTGACTTTAATTAGAATCATTTCTGTTCAGTCTATGTCATCTAATATATAATAATTTTTCAAAGGCTACATCTATTCATCTTTATATCCTTAGATGCCTATCATAGTCATTATCTACAAGTGAGCAATAGAAGTATCGACAAACATATAGACAGACATAGATAAGTATGAATACAGTGATGCAATGACTAATCTGCAGTAGTAACTCAGAATTATCTTTATGAAATCCTACTAGCTTCACCTGTTGAGTAAATTCTTCTAGGCAATGGGTGGGATATACAAATATGTTATTTTTAACAGACTTCCCAAGTCATTCATATATAGCCAGTCTGGTGCTAGCACCCATAACACTTGGGAATCACTCATCAATAAGTCAATCAGATATCAAGTTTATGCTATTGTGTGCCTGTGAGCAACATTCACTATAAATATAGGTAATTAGCAGAGAATGGGTAAACTGCTTTGGAGGGGAGAAAATACATGATTCCAAAAAAGCAAGAAATGGAGTGTACCAAGGAGGGGTAAGATGGGTTGGAATTCAGGTAAAGTTAATCTTCTGAGGAAAGCCTGGGTCAATTCTGCCTAGCAAGCTCAGCCTGACTTCTACCCAATGGAGAGTTAAATTAAGACCAACTACTAACTAGGCTCTAGAGTACTCTTTCTTGTTCTCCATGAATAATCAGAATAATTGAGTCATCCTCCTTCCCTTCTATCAAGACTTGTTACAATAACTTTATCTATATGCCCACTCATTTGATTCTACAGTAATATGAAGATTGCCTTTGACATTCTAAGTACCAAATCTTCTCTCTAGTTTTCCATGTTGTCAAAAAGTTCCTAGAAGGAAGTTTCAGTAAAGATGAATCCTCTTGGGGATCCTGGGTAGCTCAGTATTTTAAGTGTCCAACTCTTAAGTTCAGTGTAGGCTAAGATCTCAGAATCCTGGGATCGAGCCCTGTATCAGGGTCTGCACTCAGCTTGGAGTCTGCTTGTCACTCTCCCTCTGCTCTCTCCACTGACTCTCTCTCTCAAAAATAAATACATAATCTTAAAAAAAAAGATGAATCCTTCTCAGGAACATAATAATATTCCAGTAAAGAAGAAAACTGCAAAGCCTCAAAGACAAAGAGAACAGAAGAAAAATCAGGAAATTAAATATCTCAACTTTTCTGTGAGATCAAAAGAGGAAGAAGTGGTAAGTGACTTAAAAGAGAGGAGGAAGCTAGAAGTCATAGGGCCCTCAGAATAAAGTAATAATGCAACATGAGCTCATCCTCATCACAGGATCCCTAAGAGACCTGAAACTAGACACACCAAGTTCTGCTGAGGGTGGGAATTTAAAAACAGAAAAACTGGTTGGAAATCATGTTGTTGAGTGACTGGACCCTTAGATTTCTTTCTGTATTAAAGATAGCCTGTGATTATGGTCAAGGGATGAGATTAACTATTAGGCAGCATTGAATATGGGTAGTTTTAGACATGGTGGCAAGATGGTGGGTGAAACATGGGTTGATCATAGAGGTCCTGAAAGAGTATGCATACTGAATGATAGAAACCTCCCCCACCTTCTGCTGTGTATTTATCTTCCAGATATCTTCCAGATACTTCTCAGGCAGAAAACAGAGGACTCCACCTTGAAGAAACAGAATGTCACCTGGGAAAGAGATTGCCACATCCTGATGTTTGGGGGTCTCATCCAAAATATGTGACTCCTATCCTGATTGTTCTACAATGAGTCTTGTGAGTTGATAAGCAGTGTGCTTGTACACATAGAGTTTTTCAGTGCCTTGTTCTTAAATGTTCATTATTTGCCAAGGAATATCATATGTTCCAGGAAAGCCTTTAACACAAAAGAGAGAGACCAAATATAAAACAAGATATCAGCCTTAGAAATTCAGATAATTTAGGAAATTATTTCATTTTTTCGCTTCTTTCTACTTTCTGAATCCCTCTAATTCTAGCTCTAGTTCTAATAAATTGATTTTTGCCTTTTCTTCTTTTTTTAATGACCAAATCCCCTTCTTGTACCTCTCTGGGGAAGAGGAGGGGGAGTCCTGTCTTGTTTTCTTCTTCCCAAGACTGTGTTTTGATACCCCACCCAGCATTCACTCCTTCCTAGCTCTACTTTGCTCTTATTCCTAGCCACAACCAGGTCACTTCTTTATGAACTCAACTTCTGCCCAGAATCTCAACCCTGTAGCTGTAGCCTTGCTCCCTGCCCACAGTCTTCTCTGACCTACCCACCTGCCCACTTGGCCTGTGAGAACTTAGACTTTACTCCACCCACCTGCTATGATACTCCAGTTTCACCAGCTCTGCTGATGTCTGCTGGCTGCCTATGCCTTCCGCTTTTGCCAATACCCAATCTTTAGGATACCAGCTAGTCTTATCCTATTACCAAAACTGCATCTGTGGCCTAAAAACTTAACCCACATAGATGGATTCTTTTTAATTCTTCATCCTTCTATGGTTAAGTCATCCTAATAAATCCTGAACTGAGTACTAAGTACCAAAATGGGTCAGGCACCTATAAGTCATCTACTACCCTGTAGCCCAGGGAGTAAGTTGGTTCAAAGTTGTCTATCAAAAAAACATTGTTCTTTGGTTGAAGGAAGAAAGAAAGAACTTACGCTATTCTTGATTCTCTTACTAGGAGCTGAAATCCTGATTGCCTAAGTCATTCTGTGAGTTAAGGTAGTAGTAGTAAAGAGCTGACCCTATCATCTGCTTCTATGAGTAAACCCTGTTCTGATACCCCAGCTTCCATAACTGTGGGGTTCTGACCACATAGGCCTGAGTACCCAGTGCTACCTTCTCCCAGCCCACCTGGATGCTGAGAAAAATCTCTGATGATGTCTCTGTGCCCAGAATTCCATAGTTGAATTGCTGTGGCTCTGAATACCGTCTAAACAAAGAACTTTCTTTGAAGGTGAATTTTTGAACTTTAAAAATCTCAGAATGATTAAAATGAAAGCTGATTATGAACATACGCTCCCAAGAGATATCAAGTAAGTCTTTACTATTTTTTTTAGGTTCTGCAGGAAATAAAGGGGATAAAAAAACCATTATTCAATTTTTTCATACTTATCTATACTTATCTTTCTGAAGTAAGCATTCTACTTGGTGAACCATTAAGTACCCATTAATAAGTGAAATGCTCTTAAGGTGTAAATTGAAATAAGGAAAGCTTCTAAATCCACCTACATTTTTTTCATTGTTCTTTTTTCAAAAGCCTTATTTAAATGTAACTTGTTTTTCATAAAATCAACTTCATATTTTAGCTCCTGAATATTGCCTACTTAGTTAACTATTACAAATCCTTCAAAAATGGTGAATCATTGTCTTTAGCAAGACACATTGTCATGATGCAAAACACATGATCATAAATGAGAATACTGATTTAAAATATTTAATTTTAATCCACCAGTTTTGGTTATGATTGTATTTCCCAAATGCAAGTTGGTGCCCCTCTTGGTATGGATATTTTCAGAGAAACATAGTAACAAGGATTAATGTTAAATTAATTACATAGAGAGAAAGCTATGTTTTCCTCAAATTCTTTTCAGTTCTTTTTCTTAGTGTGAATATTTTTTTCAACTCTTTAACTTTTGTTAATCTCTCTTTTTTAATAAGGAAATCACCTCAAACACTGAGGTTTTCTTATATTCCAGCTAGAATTATAATCACATTGTTATGTTTTATTGTTTTCTTAAAAATAATTGCCTCTTATTTATGACAAATGATATTGATATTTATTACTGTCTTATTCCAAGAATTATTAATTTACTACAATGTGGGCAGTACACAGATATGGTATATGTTGGGCATCTCGTATGTGAACCTAGAAACATAAAAAATGTTTTTGAAGGATTTATAATGTTTGACTAAGTAGGCAATATTCAGGAGCTCTCAGGCTATTGAGGCAGACAGAGGAGAGTAGGGCAATTATAAGACAAGACAGGATATGATTGAAAGCCTTAATTGCACAAATCAGTTACTGGGATTTGAATGAGGAAAGCTTCTTATCAGTAGGGGAATAAAAGTCCTAGAAGAGATGGCATTTGAAATGGTCACTGAAGAATGAGTAGAATTGAGACAGAGTGGGTATTCTCAATAAATCACCTTCAAACTTTTATTTTTTTAAAATTTTTAAAAAAAATTTTTTTTAATTTTTATTTATTTATGATAGTCACACAGAGAGAAAGAGAGGCAGAGACACAGGCAGAGGGAGAAGCAGGCTCCATGCACCGGGAGCCCGACGTGGGATTCGATCCCGGGTCTCCAGGATCGCGCCCTGGGCCAAAGGCAGGCGCCAAACCGCTGCACCACCCAGGGTTCCCTTTTTTTAAATTTTTTTAAATAAATTTATTTTTTATTGGTGTTCAATTTACCAACATATAGAATAACACCCAGTGCTCATCCCGTCAAGTGCCCCCCTCAGTGCCCGTCACCCATTCACCCCCACCCCCTGCCCTCCTCCCCTTCTACCACCCCTAGTTCGTTTCCCAGAGTTAGGAGTCTTTATGTTCTGTCTCCCTTTCTGATGTTTCCCACACACTTCTTCTCCCTTCCCTTATATTCCCTTTCACTATTATTTATATTCCCCAAATGAATGAGAACATATAATGTTTGTCCTTCTCCGACTGACTTATTTCACTCAGCATCATACCCTCCAGTTCCATCCACGTCGAAGCAAATGGTGGGTACTTGTCGTTCCTAATGGCTGAGTAATATTCCATAGTATACATAGACCACATCTTCTTTATCCATTCATCTTTCGATGGACACCTATGCTTCCAGAAATTGATCAGAATAAGGACCGCATGTTGGAGATTTTGGAAGGAAAGGGACTGAGTTTCTTATTCCCACTCCTCAAATTGGAGAAGGAACTGTTGAAGCAAATAAAGTTGGATCCATCCCCTCAAACCATATATAAATGGATTAAAGATAACATCTCCCCCAAACTTCATGTAGATAAAGGATTTGTGAACATCTTAATGACTAGCTTCTTACAGTATATTTCTAGTGAAGTAAACCCACCCAGTGATGAGACAGATTCTTCCTCTGCTCCTTCCAAAGAACAGTTAGAGCAGGAAAAACAACTGCTTCTTTCTTTCAAGCCAGTAATGCAGAAATTCCTTCATGATCACGTTGATCTGCAAGTGAGTGCCCTGTATGCTCTGCAGGTGCACTGCTATAACAGCAACTTCCCCAAAGGCATGTTACTCTGCTTTTTTGTTCACTTTTATGAAATGGAAATTATTGAAGAAGAAGCTTTCTTGGCTTGGAAAGAAGATATAACCCAAGAGTTTCCTGGGAAAGGCAAGGCTTTGTTCCGGGTGAATCAGTGGCTAACCTGGCTAGAAACTGCTGAAGAAGAAGAGTCAGAGGAAGAAGCTGACTAAAGAACCAGCCAAAGCCTTAAATTGTGCAAAATATACTGTTGCTATGACGTAACTGCATTTGACCTAACCACTGCGAAAATTCATTCCGCTGTAATGTTTTCACAATATTTAAAGCAGAAGCACGTCAGTTAGGATTTCCTTCTGCATAAGGTTTTTTTTTGTAGTGTAATGTCTTAATCATAGTCTACCATCAAATATTTTAGGAGTATCTTTAATGTTTAGATAGTATATTAGCAGCATGCAATAATTACATCCTAAGTTCTCAAGCAGAGGCAGGCTATTGCAAGGACCTTCTTTGCTGCCAGTTATCATAGACTGTTTTAAGGTAGAAAACTGAATAGCAACACTGAATACTGTAGAAATGCACTTTGCTCAGTAATACTTGAGTTGTTGCAATATTTGATTATCCATTTGGTTGTTACAGAAAAATTCTTAACTGTAATCGATGGTTGTTGCCGTAACAGTATATTGCCTGTATTTCTACCTCTAGTAATGGGCTTTATGTGCTAGATTTTAATATCCTTGAGCCTGGGCAAGTGCACAAGTCTTTTTAAAAGAAACATGGTTTACTTGCACAAAACTGATCAGTTTTGAGAGATCGTTAATGCCCTTGAGGTGGTTTTGTGGGTGTGAAACAAATGGTGAGAATTTGAATTGGTCCCTCTTATTATAGTATTGAAGTTAAGTCTACTTAATTTATCAAGTCATGTTCATGCCCTGATTTTATATACTTGTATCTATCAATAAACACTGTGATACTTGAAAAAAAATGTGCTCATGTGCTCACAGTCCGAGCTCCAGTGGCAGAAAGTTCTTTCTAGCCCCAATCTGTGGACAGACATGACACTTGTCCTGCACTGAAGCCAGAGTTCCAGTCTGCAGCAGGAAGGTTGGCTGAAGGCATGGGCATGGACACATGGCTGGCACAGGCCCTGTGGAGCATGGACACTCACTGTCTGCAGCTCTGGCACGGGGCTACGGACCCTCTTCCATAGCTCTGTCTGTATTTATGTTCAACACAGCACTTGCTGATATTACATAAATAAGACTGTCTGGTTTCTGTGCTTTGAATAAAGGTTTGTTACCTCTGTCAAAAAAAATTTTTTTTTCTTCAAATTCCTGGTTTCATAAGGACTTGTTTATTTGAGAAAAAAGGGTCCCAAACATCAGGCTGTTCACAAAAATAACCCACAGTATCAACTTTAGAAAACAAATCTTTTTTTTAATTTTTATTTATTTATGATAGTCACACACAGAGAGAGAGAGGCAGAGACACAGGCAGAGGGAGAAGCAGGCTCCATGCACCGGGAGCCCGATGTGGGATTCGATCCCGGGTCTCCAGGATCACGCCCTGGGCCAAAGGCAGGCGCTAAACCGCTGCACCACCCAGGGATCCCCTAGAAAACAAATCTTAAGACTATTACACTAATTATTTTTCTAGAGGATGCCTTTGACATGCCAACTCTCATTCACAAAAATACATTGTTACATTTGTGTTGAACAGCCCCACATAGCATTCTTATGTGGGGTATAACACACATACCTCTAATTCAAAGCTGCTCTCAGGTGCTACTCAACTAATGCGATTGCCTTTGCAGTTAGGGAAGCAACTACTGAGCTCATGTATGAATGGAAAGAACTGTACTCCCTGCATAACAAGAGATTATTTTGGAGACAGTTGGTAACAGTTTGGCTATTGTGGACATTGCTGCTAGAAACATCTGGGTGCAGGTGTCCCGGAGTTTCACTGCATCTGTATCTTTGGGGTAAATCCCCAGCAGTGCAATTGCTGGGTCTAGGGCAGGTCTATTTTTAACTCTTTGAGGAACCTCCACACAGTTTCCAGAGTGGCTGCACCAGTTCACATTCCCACCAACAGTGCAAGAGGGTTCCCCTTTCTCCGCATCCTCTCCAACATTTGTGGTTTCCTGCCTTGTTAATTTTCCCCATTCTCACTGGTGTGAGGTGGTATCTCATTGTGGTTTTGATTTGTATTTCCCTGATGGCCAGTGATGCGGAGCATTTTCTCATGTGCGTGTTGGCCATGTGTATGTCTTCCTCTGTGAGATTTCTCTTCATGTCTTTTGCCCATTTCATGATTGGATTGTTTGTTTCTTTGCTGGTGAGTTTAATAAGTTCTTTATAGATCTTGGAAACTAGCCCTTTATCTGATATGTCATTTGCAAATATCTTCTCCCATTCTGTAGGTTGTCTTTGAGTTTTGTTGACTGTATCCTTTGCTGTGAAAAGCTTCTTATCTTGATGAAGTCCCAATAGTTCATTTTTGCTTTTGTTTCCTTTGCCTTCGTGGATGTATCTTGCAAGAAGTTACTGTGGCCGAGTTCAAAAAGGGTGTTGCCTGTGTTCTCCTCTAGGATTGTGATGGAATCTTGTCTCACATTTAGATCTTTCATCCATTTTGAGTTTATCTTTGTGTATGGTGCAAGAGAGTGGTCTAGTTTCATTCTTCTGCATGTGGATGTCCAATTTTCCCAGCACCATTTATTGAAGAGACTGTCTTTCTTCCAGTGGATCGTCTTTCCTCCTTTATCGAATATTAGTTGACCATAAAGTTCAGGGTCCACTTCTGGGTTCTCTCTTCTGTTCCATTGATCTATGTGTCTGTTTTTGTGCCAGCACCACACTGTCTTGATGACCACAGCTTTGTAGTACAACCTGAAATTTGGCATTGTGATGCCCCCAGCTATGGTTTTCTTTTTTAAAATTCCCCTGGCTATTCGGGGTCTTTTCTGATTCCACACAAATCTTAAAATAATTTGTTCTAACTCTCTGAAGAAAGTCCATGGTATTTTGATAGGGATTGCATTAAACGTGTAAATTGCCCTGGGTAACATTGACATTTTCACAATATTAATTCTGCCAATCCATGAGCATGGAATATTTTTCCATCTCTTTGTGTCTTCCTCAATTTCTTTCAGAAGTGTTGTGTAGTGTTTAGGGTATAGATCCTTTACCTCTTTGGTTAGGTTTATTCCTAGGTATCTTACACTTTTGGGTGCAATTGTAAATGGGATTGACTCCTTAATTTCTCTTTCTTCAGTCTCATTGTTAGTGTATAGGAATGCCACTGATTTCTGGGCATTGATTTTGTATCCTGCCACGCTGCCAAATTGCTGTAGGAGTTCTAGCAATCTTGGGGTGGAGGCTTTTGGGTTTTCTATGTAGAGTATCATGTCATCGGCGAAGAGGGAGAGTTTGACTTCTTCTTTGCCAATTTGAATGCCTTTAATGTCTTTTTGTTGTCTGATTGCTGAGGCTAGGACTTCCAGTACTATGTTGAACAGCAGTGGTGAGAGTGGACATCCCTGTCTTGTTCCTGATCTTAGGGGAAAGGCTCCCAGTGCTTCCCCATTGAGAATGATATTTGCTGTGGGCTTTTCGTAGATGGCTTTTAAGATGTTGAGGAAAGTTCCCTCTATCCCTACACTCTGAAGAGTTTTGATCAGCAATGGATGCTGTATTTTGTCAAATGCTTTCTCTGCATCTAATGAGAGGATCATATGGTTCTTGGTTTTTCTCTTGCTGGTATGATGAATCACATTGATTGTTTTACGAGTGTTGAACCAGCCTTGTGTCCCGGGGATAAATCATTCACCACTTGGTCATGGTGAATAATTTTCTTAATGTACTGTTGGATCCTATTGGCTAGTATCTTGTTGAGAATTTTTGCATCCATGTTCATCAGGGATATTGGTCTGTAATTCTCCTTTTTGGTGGGGTCTTTGTCTGGTTTTGGAATTAAGGTGATGCTGGCCTCATAGAACGAATTTGGAAGTACTCCATCTCTTTCTATCTTTCCAAACAGCTTTAGTAGAATAGGTATGGTTTCTTCTTTAAACGTTTGATAGAATTCCCCTGGGAAGCCATCTGGCCTTGGACTTTTGTGTCTTGGGAGGTTTTTGATGACTGCTTCAATTTCCTCCCTGGTTATTGGCCTGTTTAGGTTTTCTATTTCTTCCTGTTCCAGTTACCTTCAAACTTTTATTGAGAATGTGCTCTATACCAGGGGCTGAGGGTATAAATATGATTAATGTAATAATGATAATAATAGGAATAATAATAAAATAATAATTGCTAAAGAAAATCACTCTGATGGAAGACATGAATGAAAACAAAATCATTACTATACAATATATTAACTGGTGTACTAGAACTCTTGAAGCAACTGGGGAGGAAGATACTAGTTCTGTCTGGGAATTGAGAAAGCATTTCTGAAGGAAATGAACTTTGATCTGGGCTTTGAATGATGAGTGGAATTTTAACAGATGGAAAAAGATGAGAAATATATTCCAGGCAGTGAGCACACAACATATAACAAGACATGAAGACATGAAAGAGCATAATACCACATTTGAGAGGGTTGATAACCTTCTATGTGGTTAAAGTGTGGGTATGCCATGCTATGGAATTCAAACTCTATCCTTTAAGAAATTACTTTAAGTAAAACAGCACAATTTAGATCTTTATTTTCAAGAGTAGCACTTTGGTGACAGGATAGAGGCAATACATGAGATACGGTGCAGGGGAGGTAAAAAGAAGCCACCCTGAACAGACGGTCTCGTATGCGAATATGGCCTAGAAGTAGGGAAGTTTGAAATGAATTGTAGAGAGCCCCAGAGACTAGATTGATAAGTTGGCACTGAGTTCTTCCTTCCAAACCGAATCCTGGTTTTGTTCCACTTATCCTTCCTCCTATCCCTAGTCATGATCATCAGAAGAGGAGGCCCTTCCCCTGCCCAAAAGATAAATCTGCTCCAGGATGAGTCCATACAGTCTATTTCTAGCCAATGAGATGCAAAGAAAATCCTCTAGGGGCCTTCTGGGAAATGTCTTCTTTTTTTTGAAAAAGGGAAACACAGAAAGAGGCAATCTCTTCTTCTGCTAAAAACTGTCTCCATATGACACTTGGAGCTGCCATGTCACTCCTTTGCTATGATAAAAGTGGCCAGTCTGTGGATAAAGCAAATGTTCAAGTTACCTAATTTCCTGATGTTGTTACTGAGCTACTGATATAAACAAATCTGGAATTGCCTTCCCTTCAGACATCTTAAAAGATGAGCCAGTTTGGGAAAGAAGTTAATAAACCAGATTTTATACACTTATATTGAGACTACAGTAAAGATGTCTACGGATGAAGTTCAGGGCTGGCATGACAAGAAATGAAACCAAAAGCCAAACAGAGTTCTTTGTTTTTTGCCTTGGGCCTGGAGGAATTCTTATATTATAAATGCTTGCTCCTTACTACATTTTCTACTGTTAATTATTCATGTCTTTATAAATATAA